TTTTACCACTGATTATAATGAAAATGATTTTCTAGGCAAATTGTAAAAAATTATTGTATTTGTAGGTTTTTACTTGTAGTAGATTAATCTAAGTTGTGGATTGAATCAAAAACAGGGAATACATAATAGTTATTTAAATTTAGTATGAGATTATTCAATTGTGCTTACTAAAGAACTCACTAGGAATCATCATGTTATATTGCGCATTGAAATCATAATATTCGATACTAAACTGATGGCTTTAATGGTTGAGAATTTACCTCAAGATGTGAAAGTAATATTTACGGATTTTTGAGAGGTGCTTATGAATGGCCACTGTTGACTAGTCCCATTATAGAACGAAATAGTTGTACAGAGCATTCTATTTTTCAATGATACTTCAACTGAGATCAATCTATGATGAATACAATCTAAGAGGTAAACTAATATTCACGAAATGTTTAGGAATAAAATCATTGTATTTTTTTTTAAAACTTTAGGCTATTTGATCTGTTCTAATATTGAGAAAAACCTTCAGATATGAGGAATCACTGAGATGCGTACGATTTTGAAGATCGCTTTAATTACAGAATAATATCATCTAAGTAATCATTGAGAAATAAGGTAAATTTCAAATAAATCAAACATCAATTTACATAATGTCCATATATTCACCAAGGATTTGGCTTCAAAGTGATTATTTTATTATTCGTAGGAAAATCCAAAACCTGTAAAGATTACGTTAGTTGTCAATCAATAAACCGATGATGATAATATTAGGTGCGAATCGCACTGTTTCTTGAACTGAATGATGTTTGAAATGTAAAACACTGGAGTTTAATTCAACTGATTCACTCTATTTTGGCTACACTGATATTTAAGAGGTTCAAGTCTGCACACAGAAGTAGGTGAATACTTCAAAATAATTGCGAATTAGATTGAAAAACGTGTAGAATTTCATTAGATACTCAATAGTTCAATATGTCAGTCTATCGCGTAAATTAACTGCAAATATTGACTTTCTTAAACATTTGAAGTCAGTCAGCTATAACGTTGGACTAAGCACATACATGCATCGGTTCAAGTTACCACACCTCATTAGCACAACAAGATGAACACCAAATTCATAGGAGTAGTTACTTCAATGATAGTAATGTATAAAAGGAAGATTGCGTATGAGGATATAATACCAGAAGAAAGAATTAGTGCGTAGAAGGAAAGGTATAAAGTAATTTTGATCTCACGGTTGAAGGGAAAACAAAGAGTGTATACACTTACGCCATTGTGATCGATTCTGAGCCATGTCACCCAGTCTCCAACCACTGGTTACGGTAGTCGCGCGGACCCCAACCAAGTAATCTGCAACTATCAACATGGCTCAGACCAGAAGTTAGTGGCTTTATGGATCGATGCTGCGTTTTGATTTGGCCGCCCCTAACATTCTTCCTACCGTCTCCAACACTAGTCAGCATCATAAGCCGTGGTAATCAGTGGTCGGGCATATGTAATACGTGACCCAACCATCGTAGTTGATGAAGATTTACAATCTCACCAACTGATTTACCACCATTCTCCAATACCCTGCGTCTAACTCCATTATTACTTATCTGGTGATCCCAACAGATACTGACAATATTTCTAAGACATCTGTGATCGAATACCAGTAACTCATTATTATCATCTACCCTTACTGGTCACGTTTCGCATTTGTAAAGTAGAGCAGAACGAACTGCTGTGCAGTATACTCGTCCTTTAATTGGTAGACAGATATCTCGCCTTCATCGTATGTGACGTAAGTTGGCAAAAGCCAAACCAGCTTTTCGAATCCGTGCACAGATTTCAACAGACACTAACCCATTAGGGCTGATCAAACTTCCAAGATAAGTGAAAGTGTCGATGCGTTCGACTACTTCACTCCCTATTCCTAGTTCAGGTATTGACGCAGACCAGTCCTGAAACATTTAGAGGGGGATAGCAATCCATAAAAATCTTTTCAATTCTAACATACAAAATTATTCATTGTTAGTGAAAAAGTTTTTGAGATGCTTCGAGACTTGTTAAACCTAATTAATGGAGATTGGTTTCTTTAACACCATATTATAGTCACTCAGTTTTACACTGATGATCCAGTTTATTTATTTAATAAACTGTTTTCTTACACCTTATTGGATAATCTGATTTCTAAAAATATCCTGATTAATAGAGTTCAATCATGCTAATTGTGAGGCAGTTCCTTATCAATGTTATTGAAATGTACTTCGTTTTATTATAAATCCAGTCATATGAAGTTAAACGTATAAAGCATTGAATGTCAACTCAGTAGTCATAAAGGCCAAGTGCTCCTGTGTTTACCCGAGGTTTTAAGCTCGATCTGTGATGGGGTTGTGCATATAAACTGTTGTTGAGTTCCGTTTTAGGATCGAATAACTCTGTAGTGCATTCAAAGATCCAATGGTTGACTATTTAAGGTCAGTTCATAATGTACATTGTAATATAGCTATGAGTATTTCATCTGTCATTGAAGTCAATACTCAATCCAAGTATTCTTTGCTAACTCTTAATCAGTGAACAATTTTAATTATGTGAAAAAGCTAAGGATTGTTTATCAGTGAGGCAAAGAAAATAGATTTCTATTTATTTTTAATGTATAAGACTAAAACCGTTAAATCTTTTGAGAACGATGAAAAAAATTGTGATATTGAAATATTAGTGTTAAATAATTAGATTCTGTGATACATTCAGGTTACGTGGTTTACATCAAAAACTGACACTTTAAAGAACCATAGAGATTTTTTAATAATGTATATCCGAAACCCTTCAAGTCACTGAACCCGAGGACAATCACGTCAAGAAGAAAGAACTCAACCTTCATAACACTACATTGACATCCAATGGTTTAAATTTTTAACTTCAATCGATTCATGTTATTTCCGTGACCAGCACAATTCAGTCATGTAACGAACAAGCCAGTCGCCCAGCATTAGTATCAGATGGTTGAGTAATAGCGCCAACTGACCGAGGTTAAAAATGCAAACCATTTTATGTTAACTCAGTGATATACAGGCTAAGAGCCCTAAGAATGAACAATTAGAAAACATTTTATGGATTGCTTTCAAATATTTACGTAGGCCAATATTTATAGTAAGTTTACATGATAAACTGACATATTGAACTATCGAGTATCTGATGAAATTCTACACTTTTTTCAACCTAATTCGCAGTTATTTTGAAACATTCACCTACTACTCTGTGCTGAGTTCAACCTCTTAAATCTTGGTATAGCAAAAATAAAGTTAAAAAGTTGAATTAAACTCCAGTGTTTTACATTTCAAACATCAATCAGTTCGTGAAACAATATTCACTGTCGTGGAATCCTGCATTAGGATCAAACTTCTTTCCAATACTTCCAATCTTTCAATGATTGTTTCGAAATACATCAATTTATGATGTAAAATTTGAAATTAAGTAATCTCCACAAACCTTAACCCTCAAAATATTCTAGTTCCTTACTTCCTTGAATCCGTTGTAGAATATTAACTTAGAATTCTGATTTTATTATTATGAAGAAAAACAAACTATTTTGCCAATCATTTATTATTTGTATGGATTGAACTGTTGAATGTCATTGTTTAGTGATTGAAAATCAATTAAATATCGATTGCATCATCATTTCTAATTACGTAACAATAACCTGTTTTTTTTAAACTACACATATTGAAACATTGTTGACTTTCCTTTCACTGCTTACTACAACACGTAAAATTACTTTATAATTCAACATTAAAGCTAATAATCATTAATTAGTGTAAGGATTTTTGTTTCCCCCAATATTCAATAATGAGTAACATCTAATTAACCGAGTTTTCTGTTTTCGATTTTTACCATCATAAACAACAAAGGAAATTCACCATCATCATTATTCTTCGATTTATTAAACATACTACTCAGTGTAACATCAAATATTACTTTGTCATTACTGAAGTAAATAATAATCATCGTTTATTTAATGTGATATTCATCAATTAGGAAAATATTTCCCTTAAACAAATGAGATGAATAGTTATTGTAAAACATGGTTAAAGTGTTTCTCATTATTGATCGATATCTTAATTTTCCAGGTAATTCAATGTTATTTTACCAATTTAACTTTCATATATTTAGAATGAATAAACTTAATTCAGATTATAAATGGTTTGGTTAAGCATTTGATAGTGTATAACTTCAACAAATGATGACACCATACGGTACTATTTTCTATCATTTGTAATGTATCCAGAAAGTACTTTTAAAGTTCTGTTTCAACCGTGAAATTTCAGTCATTAAATTCAAGCTTTGTGTAATAATAAACAAAAGAATAAATGGTGGTTAGACGCGCGTCTCGTCCTAATTGAGACTCATCAGCTGGATATATCTGCATCCCAGAGTTGATTTCCACTCCGGCACTCGAATCCAGCATAGTTAGCTTCAAACGTCATCGCGTTATCCACTTAGCTACTAAATACTGATAGCCACTTGTTTGTGCAGTGGGGTGAAGTTTACATTCATTTTCTGTTGTTTGCTTGAATTTTCCGATTGATGTTTAGGACTCCAATTGATCAGTCCCTTATTGGCATATGTGCTTACTGTGCATACTGCCTTAGTAGTATCTATCAGGACTCAGTAGGTAAGTGGATAATGTGATGACGATCGAAGCGAAAGGTATTGGGTTCGAGTCCCAGAGTGAACATCAACTGTAAGTTGCAGGTACATCCAGCTGACCAGTCTCAAGTAGGACAGAACGCGCGTCTTGGATTCCACTGCTAGTCACCATGCATCCTTGGTTAGAATACTTATGACTTAAGGCAATATCGAGTCAATCCGTACAGGATGCACGTATACCAATAAAGGATTGATCAACTACAGTCCTAAATATCAATGAGAAAATTCAAATAAACAATACAAAATGAATTTGGGTAATGATGTTTTTTAGAGTATTCCAATGGATTATCATAAATTATAAAATGAAATATTTAATTATTCACCTCGACATGAAGAGTAACTCGGCTTATATGAGTTGGATCAATTTGTTCGGCTACTTTTAATGTAAATATATTTGGATTGGGCAGTTTCACTGGCGGTTGGTCTGAAAAATGTAAAAAAAGAAAAAACGTTTTGAAGCTTGTTTTCATCGAAGCTAAAATATTTTTGTATTATACAATAAAAATGTGAAAGTCATACATTAAGTAAATCATTTGCACATCTTCTTTGCATTATTTCTTACAAACTTCAATTGTCTTTTATATGCTTTAATATTCGTCCCATTCTGTTTTTATTACAATTACTCTTTGTTCTTCTACATATTCTGTTCAATTCAGTCCACTTCTGCCATGCATTCCATTTCCGATTGCGGCTACATACTACTTATATCCGTCAGTATAAATAGCATACACTACTCCAAAACGTATGAAGTTACATTTACCTTCTACATATGTTATGCATCAAATGAACACTGATGTGATCATTTGTTAGAAATTCGGTAAAATTGGTTACCTATTACTTATCAGAAATGATTGAAGATTGATATTGATTAAATGAAAGGTAGAATATAAAATTGAAGATGATGATTTCACTATGCATTAATAAATAAATCCATAATTAATTCAACCATTATTAATAAATAATGTCTTATTTATTTTTCATCTAATACGTAGTCACATTTCAATACATTGAACATGAACTGTGCTTGGTAGGAAATAATCAACAATGTTATAGATTTTAATAGTTGACATCATGAATCAATTGAAGCTAGACCATCATGGAAGCAGTGACCAATGAAGTTCAACCGGGTCTATTGTGAGATATTAACTCATTGATGGATGTGTCGCTCGATTTTGTGGATTAGTTGAAGTTAGACATAACGCCGTTGGATGCCTATCGGCTCAGTGGTCTAGAGGTTGGGCGTTCGCGCGCGACACCGATAGATCCTGGGTTCGAATCTCGCGAGGCGAGGTCGTGGATGCGCACTTCCGACGAGTCTCTTAATAGGACGAAACGACCGTCCACTGCTCCTAGGTTTTCTATGGTGGTCTAGCTTCAACTGACTCATGATCTTAACTATTAAAAGTACTATAATATCCACAAAACACCTTCGGATACTAATGTTATGCATGTTTACATTTTACAATATTATTAGGTTAAACCACATTAAATATTGTCCTCTTCTTAATGATAATATATTATAAATGTATATAGTTTATATTGATTCGACGAACTAGTGAATAAGTACAATTCAATGAATATGTGTATTGAACTGCAACAGTTATATACAAAATAACGATGATATCCAACGTCATGGATAAAAATCAGATTATAGAATGATGAAGTGTGATTTCTATATCTTCAATGAAGAAAGATACAACGAACTGATCAGTTGAAATCAACTAAGTCATATTTTATTCCAATTGATCGTTTATGAAATAACAGAATTACAGGTCAACTATTTCATTATATTTACATAATATAATCAGAACTATGATTTATGTAATAATATAATCCAGTCACTATACCATGATTATTATAAGAAGCTTGTGAAAATTACTGAATTTTGTTGTTTACATCATGGATTGATGTTAATTAGACAATTATTAAAAAAAAACTCAGATGCTCTGAATATATGTTTCGCTCTAGTAAAGAATTTTACTGAAAAACTATGAGGCAGTTGCCTACTTATGACATTGAAAGGTAGTTGTGTAAAACTGCGAATTGACTTGAATTTATATTTGTAAATTAGTGATTCTAAGGTTACAGTTTAATTGAGAGATCTGAAGGTTTTGATTTAGATCCTTGATGGAGTCGTAGATGTGAACTGTTGAGGAGTCTAATTCTACGATAACACACCTAACCAGTACCTCCTGGTTTTGATTGGTAGTTTAACTAAGAAAAGTTCATAATACACATTAAACTATAACTATGAATAGTTTATCAGACAACAAATGAAGTGTCACTTCTACCTAACAAATCAATTAGGAACTGCAAAAATTCATTTCGGATTTCTTTATGTTGGATAAACAATTAAATATTCAATGTAAATCTTGATACACAACGGCATTATACACAAATATCACTTTTTCATATGACGTGTAAATTATTTGTCGTATTTGCGTAGAGTACTTAAAACCCTACCTTTCTCAACGCTATGTATTTATCTTTCTTCTTTAAGAAAATCTATAATATATATAATTTGGTCTAATTTGTCAAGGTTTTTGGTATCTATGCAGTTGCATCATAGGTTAGAACTATGATATTTAAACTATACTTCAATAAATTACTCTCTTGAACGGTATATAAATATACATATTGTGAGTTGCCATTATGGCTCTCTAGTTGAATTACTTAATTTTCAACCAATAGGTAAAGACATTGAACCTTGATCCCCTTTCGTCTCTTCGATCATCCAGTTAGAATGAGTGGTACATATACAACTGAAATAACAATCGATGTCATACACTCTTAGTACAATTTGTTATATGTCGAAAAATGTCTAAAAAGAAGGAAAATCTTTTTTTATTCGTTGTGAAATCTTCATTTTTGAAAAGAATAAGTTGAGTTGATTTAATACTGTAACATTGTAGATTAGTATAGGGTATATCCTATTCTAATAGTGAAATTATATAAGCTTTAAAGGTTTGACCATCATTTTTACTCAACATATCTTTTAAACTTTCCTTGTAGATAGTTTATTTATTTATTTAAACACATAGGCATTAGTAGTGGGAGGCACCAGATATATATAGATATGTGTCATATTTCGACATTCGATTTGTGTGAGGTCTGGAATACTGTCCGAGCGACCAAACCGAAGCACATGGTTTTATGAGGAGGCCACTATACTAGCCTTTGACCGATGAATGGATGTTACCAAATGTTGTGCACTCACCAATTATAGGAATGACGATAAAGATGAGTTATATGAGAGGCTGCAATCGATCATAGCGAAGTGCTCAGGAAAAAAGCTGACAAACCTGTTGAGAGGTATAAAGGCCAAAATCGGAATGGACAACAACGTTTATAGAGATATCATGGAACGACATGGACTAGGAGAAAGGGCGAGACTATAATTTGTGGACGAAACAATCACGTATAATATAACAGGTCTCGGATTTCAGCTCGAAATTCATTCATACATTCGGATAAATAGTTTTGGCATTATAGCTGATGTCAGTTCGTTATCAAAACCCTAAATCTAATTTCTAACCTTAATCATCAACTGTAAATCAAAATCTCAATTGCCCACATTGGTTTATAACCCTCATTTGCTCCTCGTTATTAGGTAGACACTCTCAAGTTCACTTTAGCACTGCTCATATGTGATCCATAAATTATAGACTCACCGGAGAAAGAAATGAGAAAGGGTAGAGATTTGAAAATCTATGTGCATTCAAAAATTGGTTATAGGCGGCACAATAGTCCCACAAAAACACAAACACAAAGCTACACGTGTCTCAACGGTCCACACCACGAAGAACTAGATAGATCGAATTTGCATAGGTAAAAAAGTCACAAGGTCAATGGTAGACGTGAGAACCAGGAAAGGAGCTGACATAGTTTCCGATCACCAACAACTGGTTGTGGCCAAGATAAAACTGGAACTAGAGAAGTATTGGGCAACTGAACAAACAGGATTACAAAGGTTCAATACAGCCTTCATTCGGCATACTGGTAAACTCAACGAATTCAAGGTAACTCTCGACAACAGGTTCCAAGCCTTACAGGATCCACTCAGCGAAGAGGAATCTACTATGGAGGACAACTGGAAAGGTACGAAAGAAGCACTAACTTCATAATGTCAGGAGGTTCTGGGTTGCAATAAGCATCATAATAATCACTGGATATCTGTCGGAACCCTGGACAAGATTGAAGAAAAGAAGAACAAGAAGACAGCAATTAACAACAGCCGAACAAGAGCAGAGGAAGTCGAGACACGAGCTGAATACACAGAAGCAAACAAGCAAATGAAGAAGAGCATTAAAGCCGACAAGCAGGAATATGTGGAAGAGCTAGCAACGACAGCTGAACAATCTGCAAGAGAAGGAAATATGAAGCAACTATATGACACGATGAAGTAATTGACAGGTAAATACAGTAGATCAGAGATACCGATCAAGGACAAAGAAGGTAAGCCAATCACTGAAATTCGAGGACAGAGGAACATATGGGTCGAGCAGTGTGAGGAACTCTTGAATTGACCAGCTCCATTGAATCCATGAGGTGTCGAAACAGCACACCCAGACGTTGCTATAGATGTCACTCCACGAACGACGGAAGAAGTCAGGATGGCCATCAGACAAATGAAGAGTGGGAAAGCAGCAGGACTTGACAATATACCAGCCGATGCACTAAAGTGAGACTTAGAAGTAATGGCAAAAATACTCCAGTTCCTATTCAGGTAGATTTGGTAGGAAGAACAAGTGTTGATGGAGTGGAAGTAAGGATATCTGATCAAGATACCAAAGAAAGGAGATCTGAGCAAATGTAAGAACGACGGAGGCATTACACCGCCGTCAGCACCAGGAAAGTTTTTCAACAGTGTTGCTGAACTGAATGAAAGTCTCAGTAAAAGCTCAACTTCGAGATCAACAAGCTGGATTCCGTAAGTATCAGTCGTGCACAAACCAAATCGTGACACTACGGGTCATCTTTGAACAATCATTTGAATGAACCTCGTCACTATACATTAAGTTGATTGACTATGAGAAAGCATTTGACAGTGTAGATAGGAAACATTATGGGAATTTCTTCGACACCATAAAGTACTTGAGAAAGTCGTCAACATCATACGGAATTCATACAACGGACTATACTGCAGAGTGGTGCACGGAAGACAGCTGACAGACGCATTCCAAGTAAGGACCGAAGTCACACAAGGCTGACTACCTGTCCTTTCTCTTTCTTCTAGTGGTTGACTGGAATATGGACTCTTCGAGATCTGGCAGAAAACACGGAATACAATTTACAGCTCAGAACTAATTTGACGATTTAGACTTCACAGATTGCAGGACAGCATTCCTACAGTTGAAGAATATACGGAACTCAAAACAACTGTCAACCAATATCAAATTCACAATCTTTAATACTTACGTCAAG